ACCTCTTTAGCATGTTTGTAACTTTGAATGAAATTTCAACAATTAACTTTTAGTTTATGATTACTGCACTTTTGAAGCTTGAGAATTTTCTGTGGGGAATTTATTCAGTTTATTTCGTTTATAAAGAACCCTTCTTATAAATGTGCGTGAGTAAGGCTTCAAAGCTACGCAAGTTGGCTGCTACCCACCTACATATTCAGTAAGTGGGTGGCAGCAATTAGCGTTAATTATTTCAATTGTACTACGGACACTGATAGCGGTATCAAAGATTTTATTTAAGTCAATCAGTGGCATATTTAAATTGTGTGATTAATTTATTAAATAAAATCATCACGATTGCCTCTTATTGTGAGAGATTAACAATTTGATGACGTCGGCGTCTCAACGATTCGCATTTTGAGCGCTAGTTAAGGAGACCTTAGGTTCTATTCCCAGCCAGACCCTTTTTTTGACCTCCACCTGATAGAAAGTGACGATGAGGTTGACAATGGAGCATGCACACGTAAATAATGCCTATTCACTCTCACCTTGAAAAGGCCCAAGTTATCGAAAAATAAAGGTAACAAGTCTGCAGGCAAAGAATTCTACTCCATAGCCGTTCGCCATATAAATGTGGAAGCGTAACGCTTCGTGCGAATCTTTGGAATATCCACAATATAGGGGTGGAACCAAAGCCTACGCCTAGTGATGTAAAGGGGAAGGCGGAATGAAATCGTGTAATTCTATAAGCCTCTTGCCACGGTTGTTAATTGAATCCAAGGTAGCCAGTTGATATGTAGCAGACCTATTTGGGAAATAAATTTTCGTAAATTGGTTCCGGCCTGCGTGTTCTAGGTAGTGTCTTAGTGATAATTCTGTTGTTCTGGTACTCATAATGCCGGGAGTTACCTGGTACATTATCATTATTAATTTCGGAAACGATAGTCTGGTATTCAAAAGCAGCTGCGTTCGTAATGTATTTATCCACGGGTTAGCAAAAGGTATTTGAAAAACAAAATAATATAATCTTTCCCCATGATAGATAACACACATGATATAGCGAGCGCACTTTTATTTTAAAACTCGATGACATTCAGAAGAAACGATCAAAAAACTTCATAATGAAAGTCGTAGTTTGTCACTTACACGTTAAATTCTATAGTTTCGCAGTTACATTAACTTAAAGCCTTGTAAATTTCCTTTAAAATTACCATGAGACTGGGACAAATAAATTTTAAATTCCTTACATAGAAAAGCTACACAACCCACTCGTATGTGCTTGTAATTTTGTGAAATTACAGGCAAATAATTACACAAAATTATGGGGCTTTCCAACTTATATCTCAGGGCGCAGTGGCAGTGTCTCTTAGATCTTTGCGATTTACACGTCACGCAAACGTGTGTCTTGTGTTGGATACAAGCAACGGGCAACTAGAAGCGAATATTCTATTTTCATACAATCGATATGAAATCGACAAATCGCCGGTTGCCGCAACCGCAATTCTATGAAAATCAATTTTAGTTTTTTATATTAAAAATTCGGTTCTAGATGCCGGTTGAGCACTGAGCGCCACTGCAATTGTTATGAATAGACGTGTCGCTTACCACCAAGCGCACGACTTGTTCTCCCCGTCACTTCGTATCATAAAAAAACATCAACCATGTTATGTGAATGGACACATCAAAGTACGTAATAACGGTAGTGGAATTCTACGTGAGAGAGTTCGTCCAGGGCAGTATTGCCACCTTACCTATTTCTGCCGCCAAGCAGTAATGATAACAAGTGATAGGACGTACAAAGTCGTGCGCCTGTTAGTAAGCGACACGCCTGTTCATAATAGTTGTAGTGCTTGCTAAATGCTTTAAATAATAAAGATCGCAGTAGCAGTGTCCTGAGGCGCACGTCACTGCCAGTTATTAAGTAAAATGTTGAAGAAAAAAAACTTTTTTTTAATTGCATTGTTGGAAGTACGATAAACATATACTTACTTAATGTCAAAATGCTTTTTTTTAATTATTTTTAAATCTTACGAAATATTTTAAAATATCGACTTTTTAGGTTTTCGCGATTGTTACAAATGGAAAATGAAACTATAATTTTTCGGGTCTAAATCGCGTATATTTATGTTTTTCAAACAAACTACGTTCTCGAGGCCTGTAAAATCCCATGGTCATAACGCCAAACAGTAATCTCAGCATTACTGTGTTCTGGTTTTGATGGGTAAGGGTGCTGGTGAAATTACAAGCACATGAAACTTGTCAACTTACGTCTCAGGGTGACCGGTGCAGTGGCAGGGCTCCACAAATCTTTGCTATTTAAAGCTCTGAGTGGCACTCCAACTGTTATGGACAGGCGTGTAGATTACCATCAGGCGCACGGCTTGTTCGTCCCGTCACTTGATATTATAATAAAAAAATAACGGGTAATGGACCCGCCTCTCTGCCTGGGACACGTTTTAACCGTCAGGATATTTTTCCCAACATTACAATAGTTCATATCCTTATCATGTAGGTATTTGAGCCAACCCTCGTATTCCCCTTTCCATCAGACCGAATATTATAAAACATAATCGAAAAATAAATTCCACGTTACTGTTTCTAACCTTTGGAACTTTTCTAACTTTTTTATTCCCGGGATAAGGGTCAGCCTTCTGTAGAGATTAAAAGACATTATTTACCCGTGTACGAGTAACCAACCGTCAAACTTTTATATTTCTGACACGGGACTGAAAGGCGACCCTTTGGACATGTGTTCTGGCGTTTAAAATGTGTGTATGTGCCAGGCAGTTGGCGAGGTATACCGATATAATCTAATTAATTAAGTCGCCACACGTAGTGTCATGTCGACGTCGGCGGCGACGTGAGTACGGCCTCGTAGTGATGTTTGGTTGCAATTGAGAATCGAGTTTTGTTTGTTCAAATGTAAATTAATGTCATTTGGAAGCACGTGATATTGAATCAGATGCAGGAAGTGTTAATTTGGAAAAAAAACAACATACTTACATTATATTTAAATCCGCAACAATAGTTTTTTTTATGATACCACGTGACTGAACGAACAAGTCGTGGGCCTGATGCTAAGCGACACGCTTGTCCATAATTTGAGATGCATCTCAAAGGGCATTGCCACTGCGCCCGTCACCCTGAGACATAAGTTGACAAGTCCCATTTGCCTGTAATTTCACAATCTTTCAAAATTTCAATTTGCAGCAATGTTAACATTACTGTTTGGCAAAATAGGTAAGGCAGTACTTCCCTGGACGAACTCTTCCACAAGGAGCTCCAATGCTACTAAAAATAGTTTGTTTTTTATAGTAATCAAGTGACAGGACGAACAAGTCGTGCGCCTGGTGGTAAGCGACAGTCCTGTCCATAATTACATCCTGCACCTTTACCCTTCAAAACGGGAACGGAATATAGCTCACATTATTGCTTGGCGGTGAAAGTAGGTTTGGTGGCAGACAGCACTTAAAAGTTTCATTTCCTAATTTCATTATTCGCCAAAATACAGATGTACTACCATTTACACGATTTAGTACCTATATTTTCCCCTCCCTAACATAATGTACGGACAACGGCACATCAGACTGCACGTTTTTGTTCGAAAATCGCCTCCAGTGCAACGGAACATGATACGTCAATGTGTAGCTTGATGTGCTGGCGTGTGTACTTTAATACTTTGACTTACATCTCTGTGCAAAATGCAAACACACTTAAGGGGATTGCAGAAATACCACTAAGTAATTAGTCTATATTCTACTTAGTCTATTGTTTTCATTGCAAACGCTCCACAATAGTAATAAATTGTAATTAGTTTATATTAGAAATTTCATTTATGAAATTTATTTGCATAATAATTCACTAAAATGCATTTAGGATAGAAGGACTGATGTATATGTTGATGTAAATTATTTAATATTATTAATTAAGAAACTGAAATTAAAATAAATAATACTACATATTCTTTTAAAACTTCAATAGAAAAGAACTGCACCTACATATACGCAAGAAATCTTCCAAAGACAAATTCAAAGCACTGTACTGGCAACATCTACTCTCATTACAAAAATATGTCTAGTTTGATGAAATTTTACTATACTATAGTTTTCGATCCCCCATTACTCTTTTTGGCAGCCTTTCTAAAATAAATTTTCACTTTGATTTATTACACTAAAACATACTACTACACTTATACAGCTATACTTATATTCATTTTTGGCACATGCACTTTCATTATTGAATTATTTTAGATGCACTATTTACACTCTATTACATTTATTATTTCAATTAACAATTTCACTCCTAGTCGTTTGTTATATCTTTCCTTATAAATAACTTCTAGATTGATTCCCTCTTGCTGGTTCTGACTGAAAATCAGCGCCTGGGAACTTAGGCCTGTGCTGAGTCAGCTCCCTTTCACTGCTATAACAAAAATATTTTATTTTTCTTCTTTTTTTCAAATTGTATTTCATCGCCTTAGAGTGAATACCTCGTATGTGATTTCTATGTAATTTTTCAGGTCGAAGATAAAATTGTGGTGTAAAATGTAGTAAACGCAATAATGTTTGTAGTTAGCATTTTAAGTAATTAAATTATATCTCTTTCAGATACTCCATAATATGAGCAAGTAGTTCGTAAGTTTTTCTTTAACAAAAATCAGTTAAAACGAATATTTGAAAACGTGTATGCGATGTTTTCACTTTATGGGGTCGATTTGTGTTATATTAGTGAATAAAGCGTTTATCGCATCGTTGTATGAAATAATAGTTTATCTACATATCTGTTGAAAAGTCATATCACGGAATGAAACCACTATATTATGTTACTAAACGTAAAGCATACATAAGCGGAGCGAGGGTAGTGAATTGAAAATTTAATAGACCACGAAATTACGGATTAACTCAACAAAGAACTTGTGTAATAATAATTCCAGTTCACGTATTCATGTGCGGAACTCCAAAAACCCAATGAAAGTCAATTTCCTTGTGGAAATGACGTCCGGTATCTTGTTCTGAGGTATAATGGGTAAGGAATGATATTTGAAATGAGAATAAGACCTATTATCTACTAAACGGGAAGGTCATGTTTCAGCAATAATATTTCGTTTTTTTTAAATGGCGAGTCAATGCAAAAGGAAATCGGAATCAGTTCTCCTCCGCATAACAAACGCATTTCGTCGCCTTACTTTCTCAAACTCGTATCTTAATGGATTGTATATACAAATTTTGCTGGCTCATTCCACATTACATTTCCTTCATGGCTACCATAGTGTTAATTCAAATTAACACCCTTGATAAGAAATTTAAAGTAAATAGAAAGTTTTTCCATCTCCTGAATAATCACTCTTTGTAAGCTAAAGTTTGAGAAAGTAAGGCATCGATTTGCATTTTGGTAAAATATTGGTACCTGAAGGTTTTTTTCTTTGAAAATGTCAATTACGCTTATTTTGCTTAACAATTAAACTGAAACTAAATAAGATAATAAAAACAATGTTGTAAGGGGTTGTAGATTCTGCTTCGCTAATTCGAGATATGTTTATGTATGAACTCTTTACAATATACATAGACTCGTGGACTCTTACTGAAGTCTCATGCACCCCTTATTTTTTTTCGCTAACATGGGCCTTTTAATTTTTTTTTTATAATACCAAGTGACGGGACGAAGAAGTTGCGCGCCTGGTGGTAAGCGACACGCCTATTCATAACAGTTGCGGTGCCATTCAGAACTTTAAATCGCAATGATCTTATGGGCACTGCCACTGCCCGTCACCCTGCGGCACAAATTGACAAGTGCAAAGTACCTGGAATTTCACCAACACCCCTACCCTTAAAGCCGGAATGCTGTAATGCTCACATTACTGCTTGGCGTCAGAAATAGGTAAGGTAATCTTGTAGGTAGGGAGTAAACCCCTGATGGTCGATATAGACCACTTAGATAATCATTGATCCAGATTAATGTTTGTACCCTTTTATACAATTAAATTCTGTGTCTGTAAAAGGTCCCGGGTCGATTCCCGGGCTCGGAGACATATTTGTATGGCCTACATTTGTGCTCTGGCCACATAGAGGCGGCCGCGGAAGCGTTTCGGGAGCGGGAATTTTTGTAACGTACGAGTTCATGTGAACGTTGCCATACTGAAACGCGGTGCCAGTTTCAGTAAGGCAGGGTTCATATGAACTGAGCATTATTTATCTTGTGATTTAGAGTGTCATTTATGATTGTCTGTCTATGTGTGTGTACGTGGCATCCACGACACATGGTTTCCCTAGTGCGAGGCTATGAGTGTGTGTAAGTGTGCGTTAATTTCGCTACAAATGTCGACTACGTTAGTTATGATAAGGAGAGCAAAACTTTTCGCTGGCCTTGAACTCTCGTCAGTTCAAACGAATAGCGAACGCGGTCTCTCCTATAAAGGTTTCACATAATTCCCAAGACTGGCAATTTGCAATCCGATACACATGAACGCGTTGCTACTCATTAGGACCATTATGTACTAAAGCAGAGTAGGACCAAAAATAATCCAAAGTAACACAATGCTTTTAGTTGCGGTAACACAGCTCTTCTTCTCGCTGCTTGGGTAGAAAATGATCCATGCCTATAATTGTGATTCGTATTCCATGCCGGCAACGATCTACTACCACACTTAATTCCTAAGACAGCTAAATAATTAAATAATAATGATTTATTATCTCAACAAAATGAAATAGATCTTATATTAAATTAAAATCTATCAATATTAAATTTTGTATCTCTAATAAGAGATTGGAGACCGTACGAGGCAACTAAACATGTATTACAAGGACTCACCAGGCGCGCAGGCCCTGAGCCTCTCAGATTAGTCTAGAATAAAAACAAAGAAACTGTTGAGTAATAAAAGGTTCCGTTGTTAAAACTATCTTCATGCTAAAAATAATGTAGTGTGTTGTGCGTGTTTATGTGCGTAAGTTATAATGTATGTACGCAGGAACGCGTGCGCGTGCATGCGTATATGTATTATGTGTTTTACGATACTAAGTGACGGGACAAACAAGTCGTGCGCCTGGTGGTAAGCGACACACCTGTCCATAACAGTTTCAGTGCCGCTCTGAGCTTTAAATCACTAAGATCGGAGGGGTACTGCCACTGCGCCCGTCAGCCTGAGACAAAAGTTGACAAGTCCCATGTGCCTGTAATTTCACCAGCACCCTCATCCTTCAAAACCGTAGTAATGCTCACATTACTGCTTGGACGAACTCTATCACTCTACTGCTACAGAAACTTGTGCGTGTATTTGTGTGTGTGAACTCAATAGCTTAAATATTATATGAGAACGGCAATAAAGTTTTCAGTTTCCGAGTAAGTTCTTGCAACCAATTAGATATGATATATTTACACACATGGTTGCTAAGTTTATATATGTGTAATAAAAGTAATAGGCACCTTCGCTCGGTATCCCACTTCATAGAAATTGAAATAAACTACGCACACAATATGCATACGTGAAGCTTTGTATGCATTTCATTTTTCAAATGAACCAAAAATAATTATAAGAACACAGTTCACTTTTGTAGCCAGAATGAATTATAAATGGTGTATGTTAGTTCAAAAGACAACTTTTCCACTCTCGTTCAGTAGTAAGTTAACTTTATGGATTCATTATCTACCAATGTAACACAATAACTTTGGCAGTATTAGTGAAAGTAAGAAAAGTTACCTTCAAATAAAGTTCAAATTTATTTATATCAGACCAATTACTCCACATTTGTTAGTAACAGTAATCTAGGTTAATAGAAACAAAGATGACAATTCACTCAAATAATTATAATGTACAGCTTTTATTTGTTTGTCTTTTGTAAAATGTATCTAGACAAGGACATTGTTCTTGACGCTTTAAATAAATTTCAAATAAAATATCTTTGTACAACCTCCCAAATTGAAACGCTTTCCAAAATATTTTAAACGCAGAGATTCATCAAAACACCATTAAAAATCACGATTAAAAAATCCCATCTACCCTACAACCTAACCGGAATTTTCAACCTGCAAACGTCAGACACGCAATCCCAACGGATTATAATGGAAAAAAATGGTGACGCGGTTGACAATATTAAAAAATAAAAATAAAATGCGGTTGGGGTACGGTGAGTGGAGTGACGTCATGATGTGAAGTGACAATGTGCGTGTGGATCAGGTTGTTGGTGATGTTGGCCGCCTGCTGGGCCCAGGAGGGCGAGTGGAGCGAGGATGCTGAGGACCTTGGTAAGTGGAATACTAAAATCACTTTATGATAGTTATCACACAGGTCGTCAATAGTTAAATTGATTATCCTAGAAATGGGGCCTCAAGATATAGTTCCCATATAAATTATTGATGACATAATTTGTACGCGTCTGTTTATAAAAAATATAGAGTTTAAATTCCTGAACAAAAGGTTTACTATTATGAGAAGTCTGGAATTAAACTTATGCCAGTTTGAAGTTCTGGAGGTTATGTTTTACATAATTGAATAAAATATATTCGGTGTATTATTATATCAAAATAAAGTACAGAAACCTTAAACAGGATTAATAGAAACTGAATGGTGTAATGGTGGTGAAGTAATGGATTTTTAAAATTATTTTATATAATGGTATGGTATGGTATGGTCAAAAAGCATGAAGTTAAACCATAATAAAAGAAAAATGAGTTAATACATAACCGGACACATTATTTTTTTTTGTGAAACGCGCTATATATCCCTGATACCGGGAACTTTTTGTCAGTTTTACCGCTTTCTCGAGTGGCATATTATGAGCAGGAATTATGTAGTTCATTTTTTGTAAAGTTGTTAATATTTTATAGCAAAACGGTCGAATCAATGCCGTTAATATTACGTGAACTAACTTAATTTGGATCTATCTGTAGGTATGATTTCGCCATTGTTCTTTGCGTGCAAACATAATCATAGAAGCCACTAACATGGGCGCTAAGTACATACGACCTTTGTTATGTTCTCCTCTGTAAAAGGTGTTTTTTTTATGAAAACAAAAAGACGGGAAGAGAAAATTGTTCGCCTGGTAATAAGCGACGCATCTACCCTTAACAATTACAGTACCACTCAGGTTTTGAATCATAAAGATACCGTGTTTGTTACCCTAAGGGTGAGACCAGACGAGTGTAATTTTGTGAGTTGTGAGTTGCGTTTTTTGAGTTGCGCACTTTGGACTCGACCGAAATTCGGTTAGTGCGCCAGAGCGTATTTTACTCTATTGCTTTTAAGCATTTATACGGGGTGTTTGTGTCGTAATAGTGTAACGGATCCATTAAAAATAGTATGCATTTATGAGGCATTAGAAGACGATGTTAGAAAAAGAAAAAGAAGCTTGGTACATCCACTCAGTATGAAACGATTAAAGTATGGGCAATTTCATATATTATATACAAGTTTATGTGAACATCCAGATCAATTTGTTAAATACTACCACATGCCAATATTTTTTTCTTCAAAATTATTAAATATATATAATAAGCCTAGTAAAACCTTTTATTACTAAGTCAGATAGGTACAAACATGAGAGAAGCCATCAGTCCAGAGGAAAGACTAATAATAACAATCAAGTAACTTGTTCAATTATTTATATTTTAACCTCCGTATCGAACGATTTCGCTAGAAACGTCTGTACTCATGCGCATCCTATACCAAAGTGATATACCCTTCCCTCACCCCTACCTCCACCTGCGCCAGCCCGTCACACGATGCGATCGAAAGTCAGTCGTCGTGACGCCTGTGAGTCGGCAGATATCTCATTTTGCGTCTTCGTGTGAAACAAACCGTAGTTTTATATAATACCGAATGCAGCGCAAACTACGCAACTCAAACTGCGCGACTCACAACTCACAAAATTACGCTCGTCTGGCCTCACACTAAGACATAAAGTTGACAAGACACACGTACCCTAAGCCGGAGCGCAATGATGCTCACATTACTGCATGGCGGCGAAAATAGGTATGGTGACAATACTTCCCCGCAGGAACACTTTCACAAGAAGCTCTAATATTACTGGCCCTGTACTCTCGTTATCCGTCCGACATCTGTCCGAAACAATTACTGGCAAATAAGTAACACTCGACCAAACTAAAACTTCATACTTGACACTGTGTTTTAATTTGGTCGATTTTGTGGTCGATTGGTCGATTGGTGGTGGTACTTTTATTACTTATTAGACAGTAATTGTTTCGGACGGATGTTGAATGCGAGTAGACCCCCTGAAACGGTGCTGTGTGGTCAGTATATGTTCTTGGAAATTCAAGAGCTATAATGCCCTGCTTGTCATAACTAACACTTTCGCATTTCGGAACTTTATATATACGATATATTTGCACCTAAAGCTTTATTGTCACATAATAAAAGTCAATTACGGTGATTTCAATTAACAATAAAACTGAAACTAATTAAGATAATAAAAAACCAATTAGACGGAGTTGCAGATCTTGTTTCACTGATCCCAGATATGTCAATAACTCAATTTCGTTAAAAATGCGATTACGTTACTTATGATAAGGATGGCAATATATTAAAAAATCCTTAACAGAAACCGAGTTTTAATTTATTTTTACGGGGAATTGTTTCTTTAACAAAGTCAACAACAATCAAAAATATATTTGACGTACAAGCAATAAAGTTATAACCTATATTACCTATAGTTCGGTTGTCATTTTTACCAAAACCATCATGTAAGTTTCAATTCTACACTTCTAGCTGTTCATAATACTAAGATCCACTTGACATAATTATTCGTGGTCATCGTCAGACCTTTAAGATTTCTAATAAGACAAATTCTTATGTATTTAACACATAAAAATTTTAACGTAACGCTCGATGATTAAAAGAAGAAAAAATATATTTTAAGAGGCCGCTTCCATATTTCGACGGCATTCACGGAAAAAAGTGAACTTTAGATATAAAAGCATGAAACTACAGTTGAGCACTCTTACTTCTACTCTTCTTATCTTCTACAGTGTACTTTTTTTTTTTTCATTACGTGGTTGGCGAGTGGCGACACCATTTTATATACAATGGTTACGTCTCACATATCAACAATTTACCATAGATGTCACTATTCCTAATTTATTATATTTTCTGTGGTATGCGCAAGTTATTATGTGGTATGTGTTTACAGAAAGTTAAAAAAGCACACAAAACCTTGATGAAGCGCAAAAAAGCGGAATTAATAGGATCATTCATCATACATTGATTATGATAGACTCCAACTTAACAGAGAACCAATTTCAACTTTATTTTGACCGCTATCGTTTCTTGTATTCGTTGAAGTTCAATACACAAATTACCATTAATTTGATAAAGGTCACTGCTTTATTACGGTGAAACTCATAATTCAGTTCAATTCTATTATTTATTGCACTTACCATAATGTTACGTAGATGGAAAAGCTTATAGCTAAATTAACAGCGTATTATGGACCCTGTACTAATAGCATGTAAGGTAATCTTAAGATTAAGAATGAAAATAGATAAAGATAGCATTGTACATAATCCGAAATAAACAAAAACTATTATGAAACTCATAATACAGTTAAATTCAATTCTT